CATGCTCTGTTTGCGACCCGCGGGGCCATTGCTGCATCCGCGCCATGAGCGCCATGCCTAGGGTGTCCACAGCACGTACTTGGATTCGACGACGCACGCATAGCCCAAGAGTGCCATGGTGGTACACAAATACACTGGGAATTGCATTCGAAATCGAGAAAATACCTTGGCTTGCAAAAGACGCGGTTGCCGATCTTGATGGCATTCGACTGCTCGAGCGGCAGCGTCGTCAAGCACGTGGGTGGCATTACGTGCGAGAGGAACGAGTTGGTGCTGCACCAGCTCGTGTGCAGAAAAAAGCTAGTCCATTGGACGCCTGAGACGTGGTCGTATGCAGAATACGAACCGGCGGTGGTAAACGAGGCGATGGAGCGTTTGCCATCCGAGCGAAGCGGCCCAGGACGCAAAAAGCGGCACGAGGATCTGCGACTCGAGCCCCGTGATCACAGCGGGCGTGCCTTCGGCGACGTATGCGCCGCTGGGCCACGTCGCATTGTTGATGTACAAGCCTACTCTAGTCTAGCAAATGAAGAACGAGTGGAGAGATACCTATGAACGGCGGCGCCGCAAAGAACGCGTTGTAGACCGTTTGAAAGACCGTCCGGTCGCCCGCACAGCTCCAGAAAATCGCAATCAGCGACGCGTACATGTAGAGCGGCGCCGAGTAGCTGAGGCAGTACCCGCGGAAGAGCGGTCGGAGCGGTGACAAAAGAAGGTCCGTGATGCTACCCTGCGCGGTCAACAAACCGTGTCGAGACCGAGACGAGAGAACCTGAGGATGCCAAACCATGAGAAGCTCACAAAGCTGGCCATCATTGCCGTCGAGAGGCTCCAGATCTTGAAGCCGTTGTCTGTAAAGTAGTAGATGCGCGAGACGTCCATGTAGAGAAGACCGGGCATCGCATTGACGAGGATGCAGACAAGGAGCAGCTACACCCATAGCTGTAGATTAGAAACCGCGGGTAGGGCAGAGCTGCACCTTGCGCCGCTCGAGACCCGAGAGAATCGCGTACGTAAGCACGGGCTTCCCGCCCAAAACACCCTTGAGCCCTAGCCCTTGTATATAGTACATGATAGGATGTCGGTTCTTTGTACCTTGATATGTGGTGAGGAGGTCACCGCTGAGCAGCAAGAGCGTCATGATGGCGAAAATGACTTGAATTGCGATGAGTTCGTTGGCGTTGGCGACCGTGTGCCCGCAGTTCCAGCCCGGTACGATGGGTAATTTCGAGTGTGCCCCTACACCCGTTGTCCTTAGTACTCGATCATCCATAGATCGTAAGTGTACCTTGGCTCCAGCCGGTGAGTCCTAGGGCTGAGATCTGCCCCGAGAGCTCTTCGATCTCGGTGTGGCACGCCGACGTGACCAAGTACCTAGTAGCTCACGATATGCTCGGGCTAGGGTACAGGAGCTGCTACATACCGGTTGCCAAGCGGGCGTGACGTAATGATATAGTCCGAGCCAAGGACGTCATCTTCAATGCCACCCGCTTGCGTGATCACTGTTCGCTTGACGTTCTGAATGAGGGGCGCCACGGACCCGTCCGTGTTGACGTAGCTTTGGACGAGCTGTCGTGTGGTGAGAGTGTATAATCACCGTCAGACTGAACGCACCTGCATTTCTGGCGTCAG